ACATATAAGAGGTTGTGAGGGGAATGGGATAACAAACATGGAGGGAAATGAATTACAGTAGATGGGGTAGAGAGAGAAGATGGGAGGGGAGGGGAAGGGGGATAGTAGAGGATAGGAAAGGTAGCAGAATACAACAGTTACTAATATGGCAGTATGTAAAAATGTGGATGTGTAACCGAGGTGGTTCTGCAATCTGTGTTTGGGGTAAAAATGGGAGTTCATAACCCACTTGATTCTAATGTATGAAATATGATATGTCAAGAGCTTTGTAATGTTGTGAACAACCAATAAAAAAAACTTTCAAAAAAAAAAGAAAATACATGGCATGAAGATACAGCTTTCAATAAGGAAAATTATGAATGACTATTAAAATTTGATATTAAATATTTTTTCAATGTTCATTCAATGTTTCAATGTTCCTCCAATGTTTTGGTTGGAAATATCTTTGTTTTATTGTTTTCTTCTAGGCTCTGTTCATATACTCAGGAAACTTTTGAGGGACAGAATTCTGAATGGTACTGATTACAATAATGTGGAACTGCTGAAGTGTGACTGAGCTGGTTCAATGGCTGACATGTCTAAACAGTTAAAGACACCAAAGAAATGTGAGATCCAATTATGTATAGTGGAAGTTATGGTAATAGTGGAGAAATGCCTTGATGGCATATATTTTCCATTTGTATGTGTAATACATTGAATATAAATGTCTACAATTAAATAAAATTTAATGAGCTTGTATTAAAACTTCAGAATGTGATTGGAGGATGTTGTTAGACACATTAAGGGAACTCAATAGATTCCATAATACTTACAGAAGTGACTGTAACTGAAAAATCAAACAAGTCACTGATGGTACAAAGAGCATGAGCATACTCTAGTGTCTATGAATACCATGGTGAGATCTCTGAGCCTAACAAGGTTAGCAGTTGGGAAGAATGTCATTAATGTTCAATTAACTATCTGCTACCTAGATGCCTTTTGCTCAGCCTTCAACTACACCATTGCATCAGCAGGACTAAGTGCATTATTGTTCCTCTTCATGTAGTGAATATTTGAAAAATATTTATTTAGCCCTGGTCTTTCAGGTATTTATCTGGAATTGAAAGTGAAGAGAGGGAAGAGGTTTGACCTTTATTCTCTGATTTAAAGTAGGAAAAACAGATAAGTGCATATTCTCAGTCTAGCTTAATAGTCATTCTGGTGATGGAGGTATGCATACATTGCCTTATTCCTTTTTCTATAATAGTTCCTATAGTTTTCTCTACATACTGGTGAAGAAGACTGATTCTGCAACACAGATGGTAAGTGAAAGCTAATTGTTCCAACTTTGCTTGATGACTACTCTGCCTGCAAGTTTTACAGCCTTTCATCACAAAATGCCAGATAAATGTGTAATCCCATGTTGTATCTGCTACAGAGAAGAAATAAATATTTGGCATGGCTTGAACATATCTCCTAGGTTTTACATGATGGGAACTTAATCCTCAATGGAACAGTGTTAAAGRGGGAACTTTTAAAAGGTGGTCATGAGGATTCTGTCTCCTGAATGGATTAGTACCTTTATCACAGCAACATGGGGGTGGGTTCCTTTTAAGGGATGAATTCTTGAGTTCAGCCCCTTTCTCTCCCTCTCCTGCACCCCTCTCTCTTTTACATTGTGATGCCTTCCCTTCTGCCATGTTATGATGCAGCAAGTAAGCCCTCCGAAGGTTTAGCTCCTCAGTCTTGGATTTGTAAGCCTCCAGAACCACTAGGAGCCAAATAAATTTCCATCTATTGTAAGTTCATTCAGTCTGTGGTATCCTGTTACAACAGCATAAAAAGGACTGAAATTTTTACATCAAAATCTTATTTYTGTTGTTGTTGTTGTTGTTGTTTACTAGGAAGACAGTTAAGCCAGGCTCCCAATCATCAGATGTTCTGTATATTTTATAATCTTTAGATGTATTGGTTGATAAACATTGTGGTTTTGTTATTTGATTCTTTTAGTTGCTACCAACAGTGGAAAGTACCCCTGTGCCTGTCATATTCAACTTTTTCTAACTAGCTGTCTGTATGCAAGCTTTGGACTGTGATTCTGTATGGGAAAATTCTGGCCTGTTGGCCTTGTTCTTAATGGGTTATGTATTGGGTCAAGGATTGTGGCCACCAATGTTTGGAATGGCATGTGCTCTTGTGCAAATCTCTAAGGAAAGGGAAGAAAAGTAGTATTCAYTTGTAAGACTTCAATTCTGAATCAGAACCCAAGCTGGATCCTACTATTAGTGTGATTTACTCCTTTGGTTACCCTGCATGGTGGCCACCATAGTCCTTRTTTTGGAAATGAGGAAACTGAGTACACTAAGGGTCACACAGAATCAAAATTAAGATTTAATCCAAAGGAGTTGTCTTATCCTATTTTGTATTGCTGAAATTGAATAGCAAAAAGTAGGTAACTTATAAATAGAAGAAACCTATTTCTTAGAATATTGGAGGCTGWAAAGTCCAAGGTCAAGGGGCTGCATATGATGAGAAGCTTATTSCTATTTCATAACATGACAGTGGAATTGACATGATGAGAAAGCTCATGAGAGAGGGCCAGGGCAGAAACAAGAGAAAGCCAAGAAAATTGAGTATATTTTTACAACAACCCACTCTCCCCATTACTAAGCCACTCCTGCCACAATGGCATTGATCCATTCAAAACAGTGGAGCACTTATTTCTGTGTCCCAATTACCATCACAGTGGCACTTACATTTCAACATGTGCTTTGAAGGCATTTTTGTCAGCTTTTTCACTGCTGTGACTGAAAGATCCAACCAGAATAACTTTAAAGGAGGAAAAGTTTATTTGGGGACCCACAGTTTCAGAGATGTCAATTCACAGACAGCAGGCTGCATTCCTCAGGTCTAGAGGTGAGACTGGACATCATGGGGGAAGTGTGGCAGAGAGAAACAGCTCACATGATGATCAGGAAGCAGAGAGAGACTCCACTCACAAAACCATGCCCCAATTCCCACCACTCCAGTCACACCCTACTACTTCACTTACCACTCAGTGAATCCCTATTAGGGGATTCATTTACTGATTGGGTTAAGTCTCTTATACCCTAATCATTTCTCCTCTGAGAAATGCAAGAGCATTGTCTCACGCGTGAGCTTTTGGGGGACACCTCACATCCAAACCATAACAGAAGGGGAGACTCAAATTATTAGCCCATTGGGCTAATGTTACCATTTATGAGAGAATACAACAAAACGAGAAATATGGGGAAAAATCAGTATAAAACTGCTAAACTCACTAAATTATTATGTTTGTTTTTTCCAAAGCCCCCTGGAAAGCAATGTATTTTCTGCCCATGATTAAGTTCCCATTAGAAACAAATCTAATGGCTGAAGCAGAACAGGCAGTGAATATAACAGGACAAGGAGGTAGCACCTCATATAGACACCTATTTGTTGTAATATCTCTATGTCAAAAACTGCTTGTCATGGGAATTCCAACCCAGGTCGGGGGTGAGAATGAAGGAAGAGGATACGTGGCCAAGCACATTGAACTATGCAGCTGGCCCTGCTTATTTTATGCCTGCTGACTCTCCAGGTGCCTTCTCTAGAGTGTGGACTCAATAGGTAACATAAGAACTTGACTCAACTTAAAGTGCTTTTATACTAACATCCATCTCCAGCAATGAGTGATGAAATTATAGAGTTGTGATCAACATTTTTTAAAAGTAGGATAGCATAGTGCAGAAAATGAAATACCAGGATTAACAGTATAAAACAAGTGTAAGTATTGTATTATGAAATTTTTATGTGTGTGAGCATGTGTGAGCATACCTGTATATAGATGTATATATGTGTATATATGAGAGATAATTTAGGTAAGAATGCATGAGAGCTATACAGGAAGTGAAAAGCACCAAGTGGATGAAAACTAAAGGAGAGACCATTGTTCACTCTCTTTCCCCATAGACTGCAGCCCTGCAGAACTATGAGCTTCTGTCCAAATATGCCGAGGACTTAACAATCATGCATCTTTCTGTCTAGTTTTTCATGTTGTGGTAGTACCACTCTTCCCTTTGACCCACTAGCAAACCCTAATCCATCTACAACAGCCAGTTTATGGGATCATTTCTTTATGAAGCTTGGACTACCATGCTACTTGCTTGTGTGAAAGCACAATGTGAAACTCAGAGCAGGGAGATAGGAACCAGACTGATTTATACAGCTTCTAGCAAACTGTGGCCTTTCCTAGACAGTTACCTCAACTCTGTGATGGGAATAATATTACCTAACTTGAGTGTGGGTTTAGAAATTTTAGATGATGTTTTGGCACTTCATAAGCCTCTAGAAATTGTGCCTATTTTAATTAATTTGTCATCCTAAGGTGTCCCTTTTCCCAAGAGACTGAATGGCATCATAGTCTCATTTCCCTGAGGAGTTTAAACATACCATTATACAAACATTGTCACTTTAGGTCGAAATTGCCTTAGTTCCTAAGCAAGCATCTGTGGCTTTCTTCTGCCTCAACTAGATTCTGCCTTCTTGTCCATTGTGGTAAGCTGAATAATGTCCTCTACCACTAAGATTCCCATGGCTTGATGCCTGAAACCTATGACTAGATTATCTCATATGGCTAGAAAAAAATGTTGTCACATGTGTTAGGATGTTAAGATAGTAAGGTTATTCTGRTTGATCCAATTGGGCCCAATGTGTACACACAGCTCCTTATTAGAGAATGTCAGAGGAGAGGGGAGATGTGACAACAAAAGCTGAGGCTGGAATGATAAGYTTCAAACTTGGAAGAAAGGGCCCCAAGCCAAGGAATGGAGGTGGCTTCTAGAGGCTRAGAAAGGTAAGGAGAAAGACTGCCCTCTAAAGCCAGAAGGAACACAGCCTGAGGACATGCTGAGTTCAGCCCATGAAGACTTATTTTGAATTTGTGACCTTCAGGACTGTGAGAAATAGATTTGTGTTGTGTAAGCCACTGAGTTTGTGAGAATTTGTTACAYAAGCAATAGGTAACTAATATACCCATGTTGCAGCATCTTCTTTTCTCCCCAAAGTGTAGTAACATCTTCCCAAAGTGTGAATGAAAACWTCAGCTTGCACTGCTCCTGGTTCCATGGCTGTTGAACATGTAATCTTAACACCTCTAATGTTAGGGAATGCAAGGAGAAAAGTGAACTGCAAATAAGGCAACTCCTCAACGTATAAATGCCCAGGGGGAAAAAAATCTATTCAAGACATCTGCATGCTTAGAGGAATACTAACATGTAAATATAATAAGAACAAACTGGTAGGTTTGCAAAATAGGGATCCATTGTAGGCAGCATTATGAATACAGAATGTTTTTAATTTTCATGTTTGTAGAATATCAACATTTTCAAAAAACTTATAAAGATTAAGCTATTTTAATGCAGTTCCCCAAAGTATCAATAGAGTAACATTAACTATTCTTTTCAAATTATATTTTTATTAATTTTCTAATAATAATGTACTGGATTCTAAGTCTTAAAGGGATAAAATCAGGGTCTGATTTATTTACTTAATTAAAAAAAAGAGCCTTGGAAACTAGTAATGATTAAATTCTATTATTTTTTTTTATTTATTGCTCAAGACAATACAATGCTCTTGACATATTAAATGCTATTATTAACAAAGCTAACACATAAAGTAAATATGCATCTATGAAGTAATGCTGTCACATAAACATGCAAATATCTATCAGCAAAACATGTAGCACGAAGCAAATTCAGTCCTTATAAAACAAACACTCCTTCAAAACTTTTTTTTTCTTACAATTCTAGAGGTATTTTCTTGTAAGAAAATATGATATGGCATCACTATTTTCTTCATAATAATGAAGCAATATTTGAGAAAATCACAACTTGGTTCATATTATTTATTTATTTAAGATTTGAAGGATAATATAATCATTAGAAGTTTTTTTTCTTTTAGTTAGAGAGAATGTGGGGGGGGAGGCGGGGAGTGGGGGGACACCCAAACAAGTTTTATAGCAAAGTACATATTTAGCTAGGTAGAAACTACTTCGCCATGAGTTTCCGGACTAATCCCTTAAAAAAGGAGACCTCCCCTTCAAGGCAAATTTTACTTCCATTCTTCAGTGTAGCTCTGCAGGAAAAAGAGAAGAGATGCACCTTTTGGTGCTGGATTCCAAAACAAGATCAGACAGAGGGACAGAGGGACAGCTGGGCAATGGGCGGCACCAACTGCTCAGGGCCAGGACTCACATTATCTGGGTGTTGGCACAGTGGGGTCCAGCCTTGATCACCTCCAGGTTGGTGATGTGCTTGGCACTGACTTTGGACACAGTCTTTAAACACACGCACTGAAGGTCCCCATCATCTGAAGGATCCTCTGAGGGTAACAGAAAGGGTGGGAGCCAGAAGTAGGGGAGGGAGGAGGATTTCAGGAGTGGCCAGAGGCACCTCRCAAATCTCCCTCCCCCACCCCCGCCCTTGGCCTTCATTTCCTTAGCTGCGGATTGCATTTCCACAGGGAAGGTATATTGACTCAGTGGCAGCTCCCTTGTGCAGAGCTTGGCACAGTGCCCTCACACTTCTCAACCCCAGGACAATAGAGCTGGAACCATTAACATTAAGGACACTGCCGCAGCCCCCCGGGGGTTCCCGGAATCAATTCCCGCTGCTCCCATGGGTC